CAACAAACAAAAACAGTGCATCAGGAAGAATTCATACATAAATATTTATCTCAATACTGATAATACTTAAGTTTGTGGTTGAACATCATGTCACAATAGCTGTGGGAATATGAAGACAAATGTCCTGTTACATATTTCTCCTACTCTATACCGTGAAATATTGAGTATTTGTGAAAACAGCCATTGCTTTCCTTACAAGGCTCCATTTTTTACATTCTCCCTCATATTTTCAATTATATTCCATAAAGTTCAATTGATCACATTAACTTAACATTAAACAAGGACTAAAAATGTGCATGTACCGAACTTTTCACAGGTCAGTTTTAGAAATCTAAATATAATTTTTTGTTTATTTTACAATTGTGAAATAGGCTATTAGCTTATATAAATTTCTCTTGTTCTTATTTGATAGTTCTGTAGGACTAGTTTCTTATTTGATAGTTCTGTAGGACTATTTTTTTATTTGATAGTTCTGTAGGACTATTTTCTTATTAGATAGTTCTGTAGGACTATTTTCTTATTTGATAGTTCTGTAGGACTAGTTTCTTATTTGATAGTTCTGTAGGACTATTTTCTTATTTGATAGTTCTGTAGGACTATTTTCTTATTAGATAGTTCTGTAGGACTAGTTTCTTATTTGATAGTTCTGTAGGACTATTTTCTTATTTGATAGTTCTGTAGGACTATTTTCTTATTTGATAGTTCTGTAGGACTATTTTCTTATTTGATAGTTCTGTAGGACTATTTTCTTATTTGATAGTTCTGTAGGACTATTTTCTTATTTGATAGTTCTGTAGGACTATTTTCTTATTTGATAGTTCTGTAGGACTATTTTCTTATTTGATAGTTCTGTAGGACTATTTTCTTATTAGATAGTTCTGTAGGACTAGTTTCTTATTTGATAGTTCTGTAGGACTATTTTCTTATTTGATAGTTCTGTAGGACTATTTTCTTATTTGATAGTTCTGTAGGACTATTTTTTTATTTGATAGTTCTGTAGGACTATTTTCTTATTAGATAGTTCTGTAGGACTAGTTTCTTATTTGATAGTTCTGTAGGACTATTTTCTTATTTGATAGTTCTGTAGGACTATTTTCTTATTTGATAGTTCTGTAGGACTATTTTCTTATTTGATAGTTCTGTAGGACTATTTTCTTATTTGATAGTTCTGCAGGACTTTTTTCTTCTTTGATAGTTCTGTAGGACAAATTCATTCTTTGATAGTTCTGCAGGACTATTTTCTTCTTTGTAAGTTCTGCAGGACTATTTCATTCTTTGATAGTTCTACAGGACTAGTTTCTTCTTTGCTAATTCTACTGGGCTATTCTATTCTTTGATCGTTCTGCAGGACTATTTCATTCCTTGATAGTTCTACTGGGCTATTCTATTCTTTGATCGTTCTGCAGGACTATTTCATTCCTTGATAGTTCTACTGGGCTATTCTATTCTTTGATCGTTCTGCAGGACTATTTCATTCCTTGATAGTTCTACTGGGCTATTTTCTTCTTTGATAGTTCTACTGGGCTATTTTATTCTTAGATCGTTCTACAGGACTATTTCATTCCTTGATAGTTCTGCAGGACTATTTTCTTCTTTGATGGTTCTACTGGGCTATTTTATTCTTTGATAGTTCTGCAGGACTGTTTTCTTCTTTGATAGTTCTGCAGGACTATTTCATTCCTTGATAATTCTACTGGGCTATTTTATTCTTTGATCATTCTGCAGGACTATTTCATTCCTTGATAGTTCTGCAGGACTATTTTCTTCTTTGATGGTTCTACTGGGCTATTTTATTCTTTGATAGTTCTGCAGGACTGTTTTCTTCTTTGATAGTTCTGCAGGACTATTTCATTCCTTGATAATTCTACTGGGCTATTTTATTCTTTGATCATTCTGCAGGACTATTTCATTCCTTGATAGTTCTGCAGGACTATTTTCTTCTTTGATAGCTCTGTAGGACTATTTTCTTCTTTGAGAGTTCTGCAGGAATAGTTTCTTCTTTGCTAGTTCTACTGGGCTATTTCATTCTTTGATAGTTCTGTAGGACTATTTCTTTTGATAGTTCTGTAGGACTATTTTCTTATTTGATAGTTCTGTAGGACTATTTTCTTATTTGATAGTTCTGTAGGACTATTTTCTTATTTGTTAGTTTTGCAGGACTATTTGCTTCCTTAAAACTAGCTCAGATACCAGAAATTAGGAACCAAATATCACCATCTTAAACAGGGACAGAGGGTCGTCCACTATACACCGCATCATATTGTAAAACAATACTTTGTATAGTAACATTAAATGCTGGACTAGGCATGCTAGAGTGTGATATAAAAGTTACTCAGTTACAACTTTAATGTTGGTCACTGTCTTTTCCTTCATGTGATCTGTTATCACATTTAAGACAAAATACCTTTACCTTAATCTCTGGCATAGATTAACTATATTTTACATTAAGAAGTCATGCAAAAACAATACTGAGGGATATATCTAATCCAGAACACAATGAAATAAAGATGTAACAGCAACAAAAATAAACAAAAACTGACACAATTTGTACCTAGATGATGGTGGGTTTTCACAGGTACAGAAAACTATGCAATGCAAGACAGCTCTAATTCGGCACAAAAATTTCCTGAGAAAAATAAAAACTGATATTTATACAGGTGATATAACACATAACAAGGTCTTATAATGATAAGAATATCATACACACTACACTGCCTAAAATTTCACAAGCTGGAGAAGCCATAATCTAAACAACTAAGAGAAGAGCAAAATTGAACGTCCTACTTTCCAACAATTTTATAAAAGATATCAAAACTACAATATAACTTCAGTTATCAAGATGGAAAATGAATTGAAAGTGCCCTCGGCCTAAATGGGTACCTAATTAATCACAACTGAACTTGAACTGCAAATGGCCATAATTCTGTAAATCAGGACTGAATCAGTCATATTGTCACACTCATTCAAGATCTTATAAATGTATGACTTCACACCCAACTTCATCAAAATCTGTTCATATTCCACTTAAATAATCAAGTTAACTGTGACTGTTGTCTGCGACCTTTTCAATACAAGGCTGCATACGAAGTTTCATCAAAATCCATCAAAAAAACTGGTGTCTTTAAAATTGGTCAAGAGATAAAATCAGTTTTAAGTCTGGACAAACTTTATGTCATGATTCATTCAAGGGGAATAATTCTGAGAAATGAATTGAAACAGACACAATCACAGCTGGACAATTATCATAGATGGCAATTTATCAGGAATTTATTAAACTTGTACAAATGGACAGTGCCATTCTGATACCTATATGCCAACAAACTTCATCTCTCAACTTTCAGGTGGTATCAAGTTAATGGTACAAAATTTTTTTTGTAAAGACTCAGCAATGTTTAAAGGTTAGATGTTTAAATAACAAAGACATCAGTTCACAAAAATGATGTGTATAGTAAGTTTGTTTATATAGTACCAATCAGAACCTAGTAGAGACAGTCAATAGGCTATGATAAACCTACCTCATTATATTAATCTTTCTTTTTGAAGAATTAGATCTCAATGGCTTAATACTAAACATTCAAAAGAGAGAGAGAGACAATGTTCCCAGATTACAGAAATCAATGTGCCAGAAGTTTCGATATTAATTTATTTTTTTGTTAGTTTCCTAGTACACATTACAAAATAATTTCTTATTTTCTGCTGTATTCCAGGCTTGTTGAGATCTTTAAACACCAGAAAACACATTCAGATGAGCACATTATCATCACCATTGATCTCTATATGGACATTGAAAAATGTTTGATTATCTTACTAGTGAGATCATTAGGAATGTACAAACAGCAACAGAACATAGCACACACCAAAATATCATCTTATTGGTTTGTCATGGATATTATACTGACAGTAGATGATTAACAGAAATACATGGAAGATTTAACAGATAATGTATTATATTTATTAGTTCAAGTTATAGCATGGCTGCAGACAGTTCATATACAATTGTATGTTGGTATATTGGGGTTCATGTACAGTCCTAGACAGACACCTGCACACTCCTACTGACCATATCAATATCTGGGCAATTACTGGCAACAGCTAATACATTTCCTGGACAATAATCACAACTAATACACTTTCAGAACAGTTACTGACAACAGGTTATACACTTTCTGGACATCTGATACAATTAACATACTTTCTGGACAGGTACTGGCCACAGTTAGCATACTCTCTGGATAGTTATGGACAACAGATCACAGGTATTGTACTTTCTGGACAGTAACTTACCACAGTTAATACACTTTCTGGACAGTTAACACAGCTAACATACTTTCAGGACACTAACTTACCACAGTTAATACACTTTCTGGACAGTTAACACAGCTAACATACTTTCAGGACAGTAACTTACCACAGTTAATACACTTTCTGGACAGTTAACACAGTAAATATACTTTCAGGACAGTAACTTACCACAGTTGAAGTTTATATATTGCCCACAGCAAAGAACTTTAATGTGTGAACATTACCATATCACGGCTGATGTTTTCTCTCAGAATCGTATCAATTCTCAAATCATTATTCACACATTACTGTCACTAACAATAACCTTGACATGATGGATTTAATCAACTGTGGCCACTGGAGTGTGCAGGCACTTGTCATTACACATGGCATTCCACAAAAAAAATATATTAAATTACTATTTGTGTCCAACATTTGAGAAATCAGAATGTATATATATAGTCTAAACAAACAATTGTGTATGAAAATGTCTTGTTCTTCCATGTGTATTTGTTACCACTACATTTTCTATGGTACCATAACCCATGGCTCAGTTTTAATTGATAAATATCATCTTTCCATCTTTCCCAAAGCCTGAACACAAAGGCGTGAAATTCGTGAAAACGAAAGTAGAACAGGTGAAACAAAAGAGATAAAACTTCTATAAAACATGCAACAAAGGTGACAATGTCACTTGGGAGGCTAGAGGTCACCCTTACTTGTTGGACACCCCATATAAACCGTGTTCCTTGATATAGTCAATCACTGGGTCCTGTATCAGATATTTCACACTCTCTCCTCGTCGAATTGCTCGCCTACAAATAGATACTTTTCCTATTTACTCATTTACAAAGTCATATCATTACGATAATATTAGAACATTTCATGTAGAGTAAAACGAAACTTCTGTAACAAGTAGCATTGACTTTGATCAAATACATTATTCCATTTCATGTAAAACGTAAGTATCTTTTCAACTTGGACTAATCAAAAGCTTTCAAGGCACTTTGAAAACAAATAAAATACATTCACACTTATGTTGTGATAACTACAAAAACAGTAGACTTACTTACCGGATTTTTGTAGCACTTATATCATTTTCTATCCATTCCGTCACAATGAAAATGTTTTCCTATGAAAATAAAAATCTTGAAAACCATGTGTGATATTATAATTTGGTAATGATCTATTAAAGATATCTTAGATTTCAGCAAAATAATTTGATCAAATGAATGTTTACTACACATTTTGCTCATAAAAGACAAATTCAAGTTACAATCTTGCATCGCATAACCTGATATGGTTGCCATGGTTACCTGCCACAGTTGACATGGTTACCCGACACAGTTGACATGATTACTGGACATGGCTGACATGGTGATCTGACACAGTTGATACACCAGTAGTTACTTGACACAGACATGGTTACCTGACACAGTTAACTTGGTTACCGGACACAGACATGGTTAACTAACAGGGTTGATAGTTTTTTAAAACTTTACTATGGTAAACTTACCTGGTATTTGCTAAGAATGTCGGATTCATAGATAAATTTCCTTGGATCGGAGCCTGCTCTTGTAATACACACAAGACCGTGATTGCTGACTATATCTTCTATCTGTGAAAAAACAACAAAAAACTGTGACATTCCATGGCCTTATCAGAAAACCTACATAAAACTGTGACATTCCATGGCCTTATCAGAAAACCTACATAAAACTGTGACATTCCATGGCCTTATCAGAAAACCTACATAAAACTGTGACATTCCATGGCCTTATCAGAAAACCTACATAAAACTGTGACATTCCATGGCCTTATCAGAAAATCTACATAAAACTGTGACATTCCATGGCCTTATCAGAAAACCTACATAAAACTGTGACATTCCATGGCCTTATCAGAAAATCTACATAAAACTGTGACATTCCATGGCCTTATCAGAAAACCTACAAGACGCCCCAAGACTTACTATTTATACAAAACTGATTCCCCTCCATCCAAGAATACTTCAGACCAAATTAGGTCAATATCCATTCATTTCTACAGGAGTGAAAAAAAGTTTGGGCCAGGTGAGCTTAAAACTGATTCCCTTTCATCTAAGAATACTTCAGACCAAATCGGGGCAAAATCCAATCATTGCTTCTGGGGGAGTAAAATTTTGAAGATTTTACTCAATTTCCTCCCATGGGGCCCTGTCCTCCTGTCTAAGGGAGCTGAGACCTATCTTTTATAAAAAAAAAACTTGATTATTCTTCACCCAAGAATACTTCAGACAAACTCATGGCAAAGGGAAATATCCTTTCATTCCTACAGAAAAACTAGGATGTTAAAGAATTTACTCTTTTTCCCCTATTGGACACTGCCCCTCCCTCCAGAGGGGGCTGAGATCTTACATCTATAAAAGATTGATTCCCCTCCCCACAAGAATGCTTCAGGCCAAATTTTGGCAATATCCATTCATTCCTACAGGCAGAGTAGGATTTTTAAAATTTTACTCTATTTCCCCTATTTGGCAGCGTCCCTCCTGCCCTTTCAAACCAGATGAATTAAAACAATGCAAATCTGTGATATTTCTAATCTAATGAAAAAAACAACACAAAAACCTTAAAAAACTGAAATTTTCTTTCTTCATCAAAACACCATCACAAAACTGTGATATTTCCATTCTTTATCAAAAAAACCATCGCAAAACTGTGACATTTGCATTCATCAAAAAACCAACGCAAAACTGTAACATCAACAATCTTAATCACAAAAGATCAAACTATGATATTTCTATTCCTTATAAAAAACCAACACAAAACTATGACAATTTCATTCTTTATAAAAAAAACCAACGCAATCTTAATCAGAAAACAAACACAAAACTGTGACATTTGTTAATCAGACAGTTTCTAATGGATTGCTGATATCATTGACAAACCACACCAGAAGCAATTTTTTTTCCAACACCAAGAATTGCGTATAATTGTCTTGCTTTGGCAACTTTTCTTTGCACACAAGACAAAAATCCTTATGAGTATGCCAATCAGATCACTGTAGGCTAGGAGACTATATAGGTTTCATAACATAGTATTACTATGTCTGAAGGGTCTACAAAATGTATTTGAAAACTATCACTTCATAGGGAACAGTTACATGTATAACATTTTCCATGCAATATTTACTGTCTTTCTAAATTTTCTATCCAAAACTTATATATAAACTTCACAATAATCAAAATGATTTCAATACTATTATATTAATAAGAGGCCTGATGGGTGTGCAGCTCTCACCTGGCACATATATACTAGCCAAATATCATACCTCTAGGTCTTTTAGTTCATGAGAAGAAGTCATTAGGATGTTTTAACAAACATGACCCCTGTGACCTTAAATATAAGTCAAGGTCACTTATTTTCGCAAACTTTGTTGTGCTTCTTCTTAGGAACATACCAGCCACATATCATGCTTCTAGGCCATTTTTTCATGATAAAAAATTGTTAAAGGGTTTTATTAAATTTGACCCCTGTGATCTTGAACATAAGTCAAGGTCACTAAATTTCACTAACTTTGTCCAGCTTCATCCTAGGAATATATTAGCCAAATATCACATCTCTAGGCCTTTTACTTCATGAGAAGAAGTTGTTTAAATGTTTTAACAACCTTCACACTTGTGACCTTGAACATATGTCAAGGTCATTAATTTTAGCAAACTTTGTTGGGTTCATCCTAGGAACATTAAAAGCCTAAAAGCCTTTAGGCCTTTTAGTTCAAGAGAGTAAAGGATAAAGTTGATGCCAGAAGCCGGACTTTGGACACTGTGCCACAGCATACACTCAATTGGACCTTCAGGCCAAGTGAGCTAACAAATGAATTATTCACCTTAATTAAAAAGTTGTGTCTGGGTTGTCAAATCTAGATAAACAACTTTAAAATTAGACCACTTTTATATGTGATTATTACTTACATCCTCCTCCTTCCACAGACCTGGAGTACCAAAGGATTCAAGAAGGTCTCCCCCACATAGAAGCTTGACCATCACATTTTCTTTGTTGGACACTCCAGAAGACAGTCGCGTGTTGTAGGAGTTAGGGGACTCTAACCCTCGGTCTATCTCATCTATCAAAGAAAATGGTCAATTTTATTTTTTATTTCCACTATGACCACAACATAACCATATCAGTTCAGTAATAATGCTATGCATGGTAATAAGCCCACCCACATCTTTTGCAGTTCAATACAAGAGGGCCAAGGGACCTTAACGGTCACCTGCGGAATATATGTCAATAATCTGGGGATTTTAAAATGTTGCAAAAATGTAACAACACTTGTGCAGGACTGTGTGTAAAACATCTGTACCAAGTTTGAACATGATCCACCCAGTGGTTCTTGAGAGGAAATCTAAAATGTCTTAGCCAAACCTAGGCCAGGTTGCACATTTATATAAAGCAAATCATGTTTTTATTTACAAGTTGAAATATAGCTTAGTAGATACATGTATAGCTAAAGTACACAAAAAAATCAGATCAATTTCAAGTCTATCCACAATCTTTTCCTTGCCTAATACAATAAGGCATCCAACTAAAAAAACTCACATAAAACAATGTGAAAAAATCTTGAGGTACTTCTGAGACAGGAATATATATGTATCAAGGCTGAGAAATGTAGTGTTACCACAGGTATTGAACCATATTATATATGTAGCTCAGAACATAGAAGGTTCAGCAAGTAATAAGATCCGGGTTTGATGAAAGATCTGGCTACACATTTTTTCTCGCCTATATGGTTGTCATAAACCCAAAACATGTCTTTATTAAAGATCAATATGTAACAAATTTCAGAAGGGCTAATTTTGGACCAGTTATTTTGATTCTCACAAACTTTGCAGTCCTTTCCCTAAAGATCATCTACATGAAGTTACACTTTTGGTTCAGGACAACAAGATTTGCTAAGATTAAACAAATTCTACCCCTTTCTGCCCCTTAAACATGCCCCCGTTGAGGCCACACCTTTTTCTATTGTAAACTTAAAGAAGCTTACTTTACCTAATTTTATTCCTTTTTTACCCCTATTGCAGCCATTACTTTTTTTATTTTCCCAAACTAAATGTGTCTTATTACACAGATGCTTTGTGTTTAGTGTGGTTGTAACCCAAAAACAATGCCATTAGAACCCATTTTCAAAATAAAATCTAATTGACCCCTTTTTGCCCCCATGAGGCCCCAGAACCCCTCAGACACTTTTTTTCAACTCAAAGTCACATGTTCTTCACTAGGGGACCCTATATACTAAATTTGGTTGAAATCCATCAACTTTGAATTTTGACCCCTTTTTAGTGCCCCCTGGAGGTCCTGTTTATGACCCAATTTTTTCTAATTTGCACACTTTGTAGACCTTGCTCTAAGAATCATTAATTTTGAATTTAAGGAAAATCTGATAGTTGGTTCAGAAGAATAAGATTTTTAAAGATTTTCCTAATTTTACCACTTTTTGCCCCCTCCTGTAGCCCCTATTGGAGTCACACCCTTTTCTTTCGCAATCTTAATGCATCTTACTATAGGGATACTTTGTGCCAAGTTTGGTTGAAATCCATCCAGTGGTTCTTCAGAAGAAGTCGAAAATGTGAAAAGTTAACGACGCATGACCGACGACGCCAGACAAATCATGATGGCAATAGGTCACCATGAGCCTTTGGCTAAGGTGACCAAAAAAGTTAACGATGCATGAACTTCATCTGACTGTTGGTTCATGAGAAGAAGATTTTTAAAGATTTACCTAATTTTACCCCCTTTTCCCCCCTCCTGCGGCCCCTATTTGGACCACACCCTTTTTCTTCGCAAACTTGAAGCGGCTTCCCAGGGGATGCTTTGTGCCAAGTTTGGTCAAAATCCATTCAGTGATTCTTGAGAAGAAATCGAATATGTGAAAAGTCAGTGTGAAAAGACAAATCATGATGGCAATAGGTCACCATGAGCCTTCGGCTCAGGTGACCTAAAAACTGATACTGTTTTTTTGCAGGTATATTCCAAAGGTGTTTTTGGAGAGGCGAGGGGAGCACACTTTCAGCAATGTAAGAGTTCCTTTTCAAGATATCTAGATAGCAATGGTAAAACAATTCATAACAATTCTTCATGTGAGCAGAACCAAAACTGCTTACAAATGCTATTTCATCATCTTACAGTAAGGTTACCATCTCTTTTGCATGAAAAATCCCCTCACCACTTCCTTTTTCATTGCTTTTGGTAAGGGAAGATGTAAGGTTATATTACTGACACCAGCTGTATATTATAATGACTAATAACTGTAACTTAGAGGCAGGTAAATATCTCTTCCATACACCATGTCTTCCTTGTCAACATGCCAGTGTTTTACCTTTGAACACTTATTTTTAAGTGGTTATTTCCATAAAGTTTCCAATGGTGCATAGAGTGTACAAGGTACAATGGTGATCTCAATATTCAATTTTTTGCTGATGCTATGACTGTATAAAATTTGTGTTAATTGGAGCCTATTGTTTTCATACAAACAGCTTTGATTACTTCAGAGATGTGATAATTTATAGAGAGGTAACAATGTATAATATTACCTTCGTTGATACTCTCATTGTGTAGATCTTTCCGTCTCTTTTTGGTTGGAGCTGGTTTTGTATTGACCTTGCAAGACTTTTCCAGCATTGAGAGGTGGTGGGATAACACTTTAGCTGTCTCTGTCCAGCTAGGCTGTTCACATTCCCAGGTGTCCAACCTGTACAAAAAACAAGAATAGTTTCCTTTTTATGTTTAATTTATTTTTCATTCTTTTTGTTATAAGTTGTTGAACAGAGTACTATGATAAACAAAACCATGGATCAAATTCATTAACACCATTTAAAGATCAGTTTACACATCTAATTTTATTTTAACTGCTTAAAATTTTACTTAAATGCAAGAGAGTAATATACACGTAATCTGGAGAAGTATATAGAAATATGGCAAATGCTGTCTTATCATGATCTTTATCCTTCACAAGTAACCTTGACAACTGTCTAATACACATCACAAAGGTAACCCTGACAACTGACTGAAACATACTATAGAGGTAACCCTGACAACTGACTGAAACACACTATAGAGGTAAATCTGACAACTGACTGAAACACACTATAGAGGTAACCCTGACAACTGACTGAAACACACTATAGAGATGACCTTGACAACTGACTGAAATACACTATAGAGGTAACCCTGACAACTGACTGAAACACACTATAGAGGTAACCCTGGCAACTGACTGAAACACACTGTAGAGGTAACCCTGACAACTGACTGAAACACACTATAGAGGTAACCCTGACAACTGACTGAAACACACTATAGAGGTGACCTTGACAACTGACTGAAATACACTATAGAGGTAACCCTGACAACTGACTGAAACACACTATAGAGGTAACCCTGGCAACTGACTGAAACACACTATAGAGGTAACCCTGACAACTGACTGAAACACACTATAGAGGTAACCCTGACAACTGACTGAAACACACTATAGAGGTAACCCTGACAACTGACTGAAACACACTATAGAGGTAACCCTGACAACTGACTGAAACACACTATAGAGTCGACCCTGACAACTGACTGACACATACTACACAGGTAAAACAGACAACTGACTGAAACACACTATAGAGGTAACACAGACAACTGACTGCACACACTACACAGGTAACACAGACAACTGACACTGACTGACCCACACTACACAGGTAACCCTGACAACTGACTGACCCACACTACACAGGTAATCCCCACAACTGACTGACCCACACTACACAGGTAATCCTCACAACTGTCTGGCACACATAACACAGGTAATCCTCATAACTGACTGACACACATTACACAGGTAATCCTCACAACTGTCCAGCACACATAACACAGGTAATCCCCCACAACTGACTGACCCACACTACACAGGTAACGCTGACAACTGACTGACACAAACTACACAGGTAACCCTGACAACTGACTGACATATACTACACAGGTAACACAGACAACTGACTGACACACAACACAAAGGTAACCCTGACAACTGACTGAAACACACTATAGAGATGACCCTGACAACTGTCTAACACACATCACAAAGGTAACCCTCATAACTGACTGACACACATTATAGAGATGACCCTGACAACTGACTGAAACACACTATAAAGATGACCCTGACAATTGTCCAGCACACATAACACAGGTAATCCCCCACAACTGACTGACCCACACTACACAGGTAACCCTGACAACTGACTGAAACACACTATAGAGGTAACCCTGGCAACTGACTGAAACACACTATAGAGGTAACCCTGGCAACTGACTGAAACACACTATAGAGGTAACCCTGACAACTGACTGAAACACACTATAGAGGTAACCCTGACAACTGACTGAAACACACTATAGAGGTAACCCTGACAACTGACTGAAACACACTATAGAGGTAACCCTGACAACTGACTGAAACACACTATAGAGTCGACCCTGACAACTGACTGACACATACTACACAGGTAAAACAGACAACTGACTGAAACACACTATAGAGGTAACACAGACAACTGACTGCACACACTACACAGGTAACACAGACAACTGACACTGACTGACCCACACTACACAGGTAACCCTGACATCTGACTGACCCACACTACACAGGTAATCCCCACAACTGACTGACCCACACTACACAGGTAATCCTCACAACTGTCTGGCACACATAACACAGGTAATCCTCATAACTGACTGACACACATTACACAGGTAATCCTCACAACTGTCCAGCACACATAACACAGGTAATCCCCCACAACTGACTGACCCACACTACACAGGTATCGCTGACAACTGACTGACACAAACTACACAGGTAACCCTGACAACTGACTGACATATACTACACAGGTAACACAGACAACTGACTGACACACAACACAAAGGTAACCCTGACAACTGACTGAAACACACTATAGAGATGACCCTGACAACTGTCTAACACACATCACAAAGGTAACCCTCATAACTGACTGACACACATTATAGAGATGACCCTGACAACTGATTGAAACACACTATAGAGGTAACCCTGACAACTGACTGAAACACACTAAAGAGGTAACCCTGACAACTGACTGAAACACACTATAGAGGTAACCCTGACAACTGACTGAAACACACTAAAGAGGTAACCCTGACAACTGACTGAAACACACTACAGAGGTAACCCTGACAACTGACTGAAACACACTATAGAGGTAACCCTGACAACTGACTGAAACACACTAAAGAGGTAACCCTGACAACTGACTGAAACACACTATAGAGGTAACCCTGACAACTGACTGAAACACACTACAGAGGGAACCCTGACAACTGACTGAAACACACTATAGAGGTAACCCTGACAACTGACTGAAACACACTATAGAGGTAACCCTGACAACTGACTGAAACACACTATAGAGGTAACCCTGACAACTGACTGAAACACACTATAGAGGTAACCCTGAAAACTGTCTGACATAAATCACAAAGGTAACGCTGACAACTGACTGAAACACACTATAGAGGTAACCCTGGCAACTGACTGAAACACACTATAGAGGTAACCCTGAAAACTGTCTGACATAAATCACAAAGGTAACGCTGACAACTGACTGAAACACACTATAGAGGTAACCCTGGCAACTGACTGAAACACACTATAGAGGTAACCCTGACAACTGACTGAAACACACTATAGAGGTAACCCTGACAACTGACTGAAACACACTATAGAGGTAACCCTGACAACTGACTGAAACACACTATAGAGGTAACCCTGACAACTGACTGAAACACACTATAGAGTCAACCCTGACAACTGACTGACACATACTATACAGGTAAAACAGACAACTGACTGAAACACACTATAGAGGTAACACAGACAACTGACTGCACACACTACACAGGTAACACAGACAACTGACACTGACTGACCCACACTACACAGGTAACCCTGACAACTGACTGACCCACACTACACAGGTAATCCCCACAACTGACTGACCCACACTACACAGGTAATCCTCACAACTGTCTGGCACACATAACACAGGTAATCCTCATAACTGACTGACACACATTACACAGGTAATCCTCACAACTGTCCAGCACACATAACACAGGTAATCCCCCACAACTGACTGACCCACACTACACAGGTATCGCTGACAACTGACTGACACAAACTACACAGGTAACCCTGACAACTGACTGACATATACTACACAGGTAACACAGACAACTGACTGACACACAACACAAAGGTAACCCTGACAATTGACTGAAACACACTATAGAGATGACCCTGACAACTGTCTAACACACATCACAAAGGTAACCCTCATAACTAACTGACACACATTATAGAGATGACCCTGACAACTGATTGAAACACACTATAGAGGTAACCCTGACAACTGACTGAAACACACTAAAGAGGTAACCCTGACAACTGACTGAAACACACTATAGAGGTAACCCTGACAACTGACTGAAACACACTAAAGAGGTAACCCTGACAACTGACTGAAACACACTACAGAGGTAACCCTGACAACTGACTGAAACACACTATAGAGGTAACCCTGACAACTGACTGAAACACACTAAAGAGGTAACCCTGACAACTGACTGAAACACACTATAGAGGTAACCCTGACAACTGACTGAAACACACTACAGAGGTAACCCTGACAACTGACTGAAACACACTATAGAGGTAACCCTGACAACTGACTGAAACACACTATAGAGGTAACCCTGACAACTGACTGAAACACACTATAGAGGTAACCCTGACAACTGACTGAAACACACTATAGAGGTAACCCTGACAACTGACTGAAACACACTATAGAGGTAACCCTGACAACTGACTGAAACACACTATAGAGGTAACCCTGACAACTGACTGAAACACACTATAGAGGTAACCCTGAAAACTGTCTGACATAAATCACAAAGGTAACGCTGACAACTGACTGAAACACACTATAGAGGTAACACTGACAACTGACTGACACATACTACACAGGTAACAAATACAACTGACTGAAACACACTATAGAGATGACCCTGACAACTGACTGCACACACTATAGAGGTAACCCTGACAACTGACTGAAACACACTATAGAGGTAACCCTGACAACTGACTGAAACACACTATAGAGGTAACCCTGACAACTGACTGAAACACACTATAGAGGTAACCCTGACAACTGACTGAAACACACTATAGAGTCGACCCTGACAACTGACTGACACATACTACACAGGTAAAACAGACAACTGACTGAAACACACTATAGAGGTAACACAGACAACTGACTGCACACACTACACAGGTAACACAGACAACTGACACTGACTGACCCACACTACACAGGTAACCCTGACAACTGACTGACCCACACTACACAGGTAATCCCCACAACTGACTGACCCATACTACACAGGTAATCCTCACAACTGTCTGGCACACATAACACAGGTAATCCTCATAACTGACTGACACACATTACACAGGTAATCCTCACAACTGTCCAGCACACATAACACAGGTAATCCCCCACAACTGACTGACCCACACTACACAGGTAACGCTGACAACTGACTGACACAAACTACACAGGTAACCCTGACAACTGACTGACA